ACCTGTATTATGAATCTGGTAGCCACTATCTCTTGATTTCTAGCGGTTGTCCAGTGCGCCTGAAGCGCGAATGGCTATGGCTAGTTCTCGGTGATATGGCCGCGTGATCGCACGTTTCACTTTAGTCTCTGTGTGTCTTACGAGAGTGTATTAGCACGCCGTAGAAAGTCGCGTGAACGTAAAGTTATTTTTTTTAATTTGCGGTGAGGTATTAACGCGAATTATTTTGGATTTATGGCTTGAGTTAAATATATTAAATTACAATAAAATTTTATAAATAAATTAAATATTTAAATAATATCTAAAACTTTTTAGAGTGCTCTCTAATACTTGTACATATTTTGAAGTGCCTAGTAAATTAGTATTTTTTTACAATTTTTTATATTTAACATAAAAAGCTACAACTGGCAACCCTTTATATAAACTTGAAGCACATTTAAAAATAATAATCTGGGAATCGTCAAACCCCGAATTTGTATCAAGTTTCTAAAAGGAATCAAATTATTTTTTAAGTTCAAGCAAATAAAACCGCTGGACTATTTAATATAAATTCTACACATTTATTCATAAAACATTTCTTTATTTGTAAGGAATTGTTGCCTGAAAAACAACTCGTACATTCAGACCAAGGCTTGCCTTATTTGCACCTGATCTAGTTTTTGTTCACTTGTTCACTTCATTATTGTCGTAACTCGTAACTATTTTTAACGTGAATTGTGCCGGGTTGCAGACTCATCAGGAGACGAGTTGCAGAAATTTATTTTAAATTTATTAAAGATTTCGGTTCATTGCCTTTTCACTTTTAAATTGATCCAAATTTAAATAATAGACAAATATATTATATATATAGAGACTAATAATATATTATAGTATCATTATTACAAATATTAAATTTTTTATGTTTTCATTTAGTTCATATTACATTTTTGCTTAAATATTGTGAGGCCCAATGAGAGCTTAATGTTGTTTATAATTATTGATGATGATCCTTTTGATTACGGTAGTTTTATGATTGTTGAAATCATAAAAATAAAAATTACCAAGAAATTAAATAAAATATAAAGTAAAAACTGAAATAAATATTAAAAATGTAAATTTTGTCTCTATAAAGCGAGCGTCTTTTCGATCCTGCTCTGCAATGCATTAAAATATATGTTTAAGCTATATCAAAAGCAGAAGTGCCTATGTATGTGTATATTATTAATGGGTAATATACTAACTAGACATTTACACTCACTTTTCTTATCCATATTATGAAATTTTAATAATATTATCTGTAAAGCGATTATACGGATTTCAAGATTCATCTAAATCGCAAACTTAAATCTTGTTTTGTTCTGATAACAATCTTAAGCTACAACTCCCGTGGCAACATTTTGTATGTTATGAAGATATGTATTGTGATTTCTTCTGTTCTTTGTTCTTGTTTTTAGTTTTTACCATCGCAAGTAACATACATCCGATGTAATCATTCGTGGTATTAGTTAATACACGGAAATATATAGATCGTTGGCACATTTTTTCGTTAATGATTATTGGTCTAGTGATGGATAATAAGATATTTTTATTTATAGGAAAGAGACAAACGAGCATGTGGCTCACGTAAGAATATCTACTACCCCACATCGTCCTGTGGGTGTCGTAAAAGGTGACAAATGATATGATTATGATAGGTAGGTTTTTAACAGTGGTAGAGCCACGCGGCAGCTTTTGCTGTCGCACGGATGGGCCGGCTCGAACTGGGGTGGTACCACGACCTCACAGAATACCAGCATGAAGTAGAGATTTACCTCTGCGTTTCGCTTGGTGAGTGCAGGTGGCCGGAGGCCCTTTTTACTGGAAATGAGGCATACTATCCTAGTCCTCACGGGTGAAAACGCATCTGCATTTTGATTTGTAATAGAGGATAGATGTAGATGTCTATGGATCGCAGCAACTACTTACCATCAGGTGGACTGTGTGCTCGTTTGTCACCCTTATTCTATAAAAAAAAGGTAAACAAGCCAGCAGATGGATAGCAGCACTGCCCGATAACAACTCAAAATCATAAAATACAGCCGTTGCTAACCTATGGCAAAATCCCCCCTATAAGGCCTATGTTCAGCAGTGGACTTTCATACGCTGTAATGGATGGATGGATTTAGATCTAATAATTGCTTATATCATCCATACATAATTATATTTTATTGTTCAAAAATCAATCATACGAACAACAAACAGTAATGTATCTCGGGTAGGTATTTCTTTTATAAAAAATATTAACGTTTATTCTGGTCCCGCCACGCACCAGTTGATATAATTTTCGTAAAAAAAAAAAATAGACTTTACTATCTAAGTTTTAAATCAATTAACTACATCATTTGTGGAATGTGTTAAAAGTATTATGTAATAAAATATTTTTGACACTATTACGTTTGAATGGCCTTTATTGTAGAGTCGATTTTTTTGATAATCACATAGAGGCAGTAGGCGCCATCGCACGTGCATCGTCTTCTTTCACTTTCTCCTAACGTTGCTGTCAAATTTTATAAGTCTATTATTACAAGACAAAAGGTTTTCGGTTTGTGTCACGCTTTGTGACTTGATTAATCGCAATGCATGACGAAAGTATTTTTGGTAATATCTCGTAATCACAAATTGACTTGTTTTATCGACATAAGCGTTGTTGATAGGATAGAAAAGAAATTATTTTGACATTTACACTAAGCGAATGGTTAAAGTTTTAATTGAAAACTCTTAGGTGTGTGGGGAAAACGAAGCCATTTGCAATCAAAGCAGGTTTTCTAGTTGTCAGTTTGATAACTATATTTTAAAATTTTTAGGACAGTGTTTTATATCTTATATACATAGAAAGTCTGTGAAAATTAAAATACACATTAAAATGCGATTTAACAACGGTATCGTATTTTTAACCGACTTTAAAAAGAATTTTATCGACCAAATTGGCGATATATTAAAAATGGGCCAAATCAAGAGTACCTTTAACCGACGAGCGTGTATGCGTAGGTATATGGATGTGGAGGAAGGGAGAGAGGTGTGTCAGGATCGTGCCAAATGGAAGTCCATAATCTCTGCCTACCCCTCTGGGTGACAGGCGTGAGTGTTTATGTTATGTTATATGTTATGTTTAAAAAGAAGGAGGTATTCAATTCGACTGTATTATATATATTCTTAACTTTTTTCTAAGTGAACCGATTTTGATGATTCTTTTTTTATTTGAAAGCTGGTGCTTCTCATGTAGACCCATAAAATTTGATCAAGGTCTGACCAGTAGTATTTGAGTTATCCTTAATAATTTATATTGAAGTCGGTTGTACAAAATTTTTATTTTACCCTTGTATAAATATAAACTCTTCTCACTTGTGTGCAAGAGAATTAATTTAACATTTTTTGTGACTAAAATAATATGTAGCAAAATTGATTTACATAACGTTTCAATATTTACAAAGCTTTCGCGGTGTAGTGTGTGCCCGGCTACCTTTCTTTAGCTATGAATACAAGCACTTTAGTTACAAGCGACGACGACCAGTCCACACATGGAGATACGTTCCGGAGCACTCTGAAAAGGCTTACTACTTTTTTTCTGGCAATTAAATGTTGATAGTGAAATACTAAACAAATAAAAGGTATTTACCTATGAAATTGCCGTTTTGTATGGGAAAACTATTTTTTTTTATAAAATATAATTTCTAACGCTTTCTTTAATGCTTCTTTGGAACTGTAATTTTTGCCTAACAAAAACTTTTCTAAACTTCGAAAAAAGTGAATCTGTTAAATCAAGGTCTGGAAAATATGGTGGATGAATAAGGCTCTAGCTTCAGCTCTGCTTATTTTACGAAATTATGTTGTGCGGTATATTAGTAGGCTGGGCGTTGTCACGAAGAAGCATATGCAATTCTTGGCCATAAAGGTCAGCAACAATTGTGGGCACCAGATGGCAAGAAGCTGTAGTGAGTAACATCAACAGTGCACCACCAAATTTCACCACAAGCTTCCTCTGACTAATCTTTCGTTTCGAATGTTACTTAACTTGTGCATCTAGATCCAACCACTGTGATGAACGCTTGTGGTATCGTAAAGGACCCACTTGGAAACAATTTGACTCCAAATTATTCCTTTCTATGCCGATTCAGTAAAATGATGAAAGTTTGGACGCGGGTTTCACGCTGTGCGTCTTAATGTACCTATTTCTAGGTCAAGCTTCATAGCTTTACTAATTTTCTACAAATTCTTTAATATTTTTTGACACTTAAATCAAAAGCCGAAGCTAACTTAGCCGTAGCTTGAGATGGATCTACTTCCACTATCTGATCGCCTTCATTTCGTGATTATCAACCTTGTTCTCCAAGCGGCCACGAGGTTCATTTGTGAGGTCACAATTTACCGAACAAAAGCGATTCAACCAGTAACGCACATTTCATCCGTTAGTAGTGCTAGATCAATAAAATTGCGTGCCGTTTGAGACGCATTGTTGCACGTCGGAATTTTTATTCAAAATTAATACGAATTTTCTTTCAATAATAGCCTACTATAGCAATATTCCAGAAGAAACAAAACCCAATGATACAAATGATTATTTGATTTCGAAAAAGGAATGACATGCCTCAAATATAAAGTTTTTTTGAATTTAGAATTCCAAGTTAAACTATAGCCATTACCCTTAAAAGTGGCCAGTTTAATAAAACGGCAATTTCATAGGTATATTAGAAAATAAAGTTGGTTCTAATAATTTCTATCTATTGTCTTTTAATTCTATCTATTGTCTAATCTATCTATTGTCTTTTAATTTCTAGCAATTTTTGATAGTTAAAAAGTTATAAGAAGAATTAAGTGATCTAGTGTAATAAGTGAAAGATTTAGTTCAAAACTGAAACAAAACTGTGAAACCTGGATGACTCCGGAACACATTAGTGCTTGAGATCAAGTGAAAGTCGATTATAATTTTTACTGTGGGATAGGCCGAGTTCAAGTGAAAACAAGAACACTGATTCTAGAAAACAATGGACCACGTGTTCCGACAGCGTAGGATTAGCATGCCCAAGCGGTAAGTATTTTAATGAACTTTTTCTTTAGCTGTTCCTATGTTTTTAAGATCATTAAGTTATATTTTATAGTGTTTGTTATAATAAACAAAACCACGTGATGTAGTCCTGAGATCAAATATGGGTTGAAATTGAGATTTGTGTCCATGATACAAACGATGGTTTTAGGTTTTTCTTTTATTGATTTAAGGCTCTGATGGAGGATAATGTTATATCTCAAAGGCACCGATCTAGAGTTTTGAGGGGGTCAAAGACTGAAGTTTCCATCACACTATTCTTTCGTCTTTATAGTCATGACCCCAATGGCCCCCTCCCTAGTCCTACGCCTAATATCTCCGTTAACAGTTGTGTATCTCAATTAATAGCTTTCGGTTATTCAGATGATTCGGTTATTATTTCGGAGACTCGGAGAAATTTATGTAGTATCTTATAGTTGGGCAGTCAAATTTCTTCTCAATCTCTCATATTTTTCCGCCTTTGAAGTACACCGCTGGGATTAAACTGCAGGCGCAGCCATGTATTTTTCTTGTTTATCATGATTTAATTTACCTAAATATTTAATACTCTAATTTGAAAAGTATAGCGCACGACCTAAACGAATCGAAATTGTTCGAACAGAACGGGAGTAAAACATCGATTTTTCATAGACAGTTCCAGTTTTAGACAAGTTTGCCGGATGAGTTGTGTTCGATGTAAAAAGCGATTGCCTTGATTGGGTAAATGACAGACAATCCTCTATTTTGTGAAGTTTCTTCACCGATCTCGCTATTGTGACCCGATAATTGCATTTTATAATGGACCTACTTGCAAAAGAATGCCGGGAAATGCTTATTCGATTAACAAGCAGGGAAATATGATTAATAACGATAGTTAAAATTAATGTCGTTCTTTTTTCAATGATTTTTCAGGTATATGTAAATTCGTAAAAATTCTTACAACAAAACAAGTCTTATCTGTAGGTATTATTTGTTAAACAAAATACAACATTTTTGTGCTAGATATATTCTTAAACGAATCCATAGATTTACAAATTACAAGTAAGTAACATTAGCTCAGGCAATAATGTTTACGGTATGCCTTTAGTGATATGTAAGTAATATTAAAAAATATTAGGTACCATTACTATTAACATTATTAATATCCCCCTTTAACCACTGCTGGTAAGCTTAAAACGCTTGCTTGTATTAGGAATGGCTCACGACAGTGGTCGAATGGTGAGTTCGAACCCACGACCTTTGAGTTCGCGGTCCGTACCCTGCCATTAGGCTACTGTCGTTTAATATTTTTTTAGTATTATGAAAATGTTACCCCCACACTAGGATTTTCTCCTGTATTTGTAGGTATATATGACTCGGAACAATTATTTGTAGGCCATTCAAATACTTGTTCCGTGCGGGATTCAAATCCGCGGCCTCCAGGCCTGCAACTCATTGCTAATCCACTGCGCCACGGAGCCGCCCGTCTATTGACACAACTTCTGTTGATGATAATGGTCTTTTTTTGGTTGATTTCGATAATGGGGATAGGCTTTTAACTATATAGATACACTTATGCCACATTTGTGCCACACATACTGTTCCACAAAGAGCTATAAATGATTGTTGATGATGTTATTAATCTTAATTTATCTGTGCCTATAGCAGCTCTTATACTATAACATTGTGGTAAGGCTATAATTAGAAGAATTAGAGATACGAGGGTAATCACGGCATAACCGAACCTGAAAACAAACAACTTGTACTTTTAAACAAATGTAATTTCGCTGGGATTCGAGACGAGGACCCGCGAAAGTATAGTACTCGCATATTTAAACCACGCAGTTGCCCTTATAAAGTACGTATAGGTAGGTATACATCAGTAAAAATCGATTAACGATGAATATTTAAGAGCTGATTTACCACATCCTCGGCGGTGAAGAAAAAAAATCTTGAAGGGACCTATATATCTAGGAAATTTGGGTAGCGCGATACACTTTTCTCTGCTCGAAAAACCTCGACACAAATGAGAGGAGGTGAGCCCAGCTGTGGGACGTAAATAAGCTGTTACAAAACTTTATTTAAATTTACTACTATCAGTAATTATTACATATGAACCAGCTTTATGCCAAACAGTTACGGGTACAGGTACTTCCACGCTTCACTTCCTACCCTCGCTGATAAGTACGGTTAGCGATCGACAATAATAATCATCGTGTAGTGCGGACATGACTAAATGTGTTTGACTTCTAAAACGATCTTTAAGAATTCAGTTTTACTTAGTTAACCATCATATTATCGTACTTTAACCCAAAGGAACGTCTTTATAGGATAAACTATTATTATTTAGTATATTTTAGGATTAAATGAAACTAATTTTACGGATTTTATTGCGTTTAATTTTAACTTTTCAATTCCCGTCGTTTTGAGTGCTTTACATCATCCACGGTTACGGAGGGGGGGGGGGACTGAGGCGTTTGACGTCCCGATATCATAGTTAGTCCGGCTACCTTAAGTTTTTGAACGAGTTTACAGTATCTTGGAGTCTCGCTGTGGTATGTTAGGATTTGAATTTTATTTTATTAATTGTAGCATCCCAAGCAGATGGTAGCACCCTTCCATCTTCTCTATTGAAATTAGGATGTTTTATAATTTCAATAGCCTCGCGAATCATCCTTGGTGGGAATTGGTGTTCTTTTGCGAGGATTTGTGGTTTATCAAATGTTTTTGTTCGTAAGGTCACAAATACGAGTATAATTATTGTAATTTTATTGTAACAGTTACGGAGTAACGTTTAGCATTATAAATGATGGAATGCTTGTCGCTTGCTCACTGGCAATTGTCTTGTATTTGAAGTGAAACTCGGTTACTGGGTTCTCACCTTTTTTACACGATAAGCTTCCGTTCCGTTTACGATGTTGTTTGAAATTGTATAAACATTAAATTGCGTGTAATATGTGTTCTAAACTTTCGATGATATGAAAGTCGAATGAATCAGACTTTCTACGTAAAAATGTATTTAATGTGTGCCTCGTGGATTCGCGTTAATGACATGCGACATAAATGTTGGCCGAATGTCGTCAAGATGCGGAACATGTCTCCGAGGGCTTGGAAAGTGTGGCAATGGGACGAACCTGCACGCTGGTCCGGTATATTCTAAGTATTATTGACCAACCGTGCACGGATTAACACGAGTCACGGAATTATAAAGTCAAACGGAAATGACTTGAAACTATTTTCCATGATCCGTCAAGCTCTTGTTTATCTAAAGTAAGAAAGTTATTTTCCACAACACTGCACAACAATGATGTCAATTTTCTATTTGGAATCGAAAATTAATATTCATCGCTTTCTGGCCGTTTAATTCTCCGTAACAATAGAGACGTGAAAATCGTTAGTGTCATGGTTTTATATTTTATTCAGAAAAAAATTATGGAAAAGGAAATAATCCTTCTTTTTTAATATGAGGTATTGCAAAAATTTACGGCTGAGTCCTTACTGATTAGAGTATTTTATACGTGGTAGACCCATGTTGCAGCTATATTAGTGGTATAGTTGTAGCACGAATGGGTTGGCTCGACCGGGGAAGGACCACGCTCTCACAGAATACCAGCGTAAAATAGCAGCTTAAAGCTGCTGTGTTTTGTATGGTAAGTCTAGAAAACCAGAGACCCTTTTTACTGGAAAAGAGGTATTCCATCTTATTCCTCACGGGTGACAACGCATATGCATTTAGATTCTTTATTGAAGATAAATGTAGATGTCTATGGGTCACAGCAACCACTTACCATCAAGTGGAATGTGTGTTCGTTTGTCACCCTATCCTAATAAATAAATAAATATTAGAAGGAGAAGACGATGCTAAGTAAGGGCAAATTTTCTAAGTATACTAGCGAGCGCATTCTTCGAAAGGTTTTGATCCAGTTATCGGACTTGAAAAAGTTTTTGATGTAATGTGAAGAAAAATAATCATATAAAAATAAATTGGTTTTGAAAATATAATTAAAAAAAGTATAACACAGTAAAATAACACAACGCAACTTAAGAATAGTAAGAATGGTCACAAATTTACGCATAATTTCCATGTTTAACATAAAACAATTCTGTTCACGCTTACAACGAAAATTATCTTAGGGCACATTGAAAGTGCTTTGATATTTAAATTCACGTTTGTAATATAAGATAATTGATAATATAAAATAAAATATTTTTACAGGATTTGACCGCAATTATATTTAATTCAGTTCAATTGCATAAAGAATATAATTTAGAGTAACTTTTTTAAAGCGGATAAGAGTGTCATAATCATAAGAGGCAAAAGCCAAAAAAATCAACATCTCGGATCATTCGACAGAGACAAGATAACTGAATGAAAAAAGTAATGAAGAGCACTATTTAAAATCTTCCACTGTAATAGCCTAATAGAAAATTATGGAAAGTCCTCTTAAAAAAGAACGAAGCTTAAAAAAGCTCTTAAAAAAGAAAGCTTAACATGAAACTTTATACATACTTGTGGATTGTGTTATTTAATAACACTAGTAGAAACATATACATAACACATTGACTTAGGGTTCTTTAACCGACCGAGTTAACTTAATAAATAAATTATAGTCATAATTTCCGGTCAAAATATTTTATTTAAATTAACTTTTGTGTGGTTGTGACGTAATAATACCTATAACACCATTTCGTCCACTGTCATAAGTGGCAACTACCGGGAAGCCCAGACAGAGCTCTTGATTTTCATATAGTCGGCGGTATAACCACCACATTTACTTTAGATTCAAAATATTTAGATCAAAGATGTGTAACAGCACCAGAGGAAAGAAGGGTCGGCTATGTGATCGCAAATCCATCTGCCAAGCGTGACGATTAAATTAAATCACTTATTTCGAAACGAGTCGAATCGAAATTAAAATACCATTTAGTTTACCGCAGTGAAATCCAAACTGAACTGGAACTGAAGATGTTGTCTTAACTGAATATCTAGCATAGAATAATTAGCAATGACTGTTGCGCGTGAAATA